CCATAGAATGGTGACATCTTCTATTTCTGTAACCGGCGCTGGCCGATGTTTATACCAGTGTTTGCTTACACATTTTCCAAAGTGTTTGCACATTGTCCAGTGTAAGTATTGCCCCACTCTATCGTGACGATTTTTATATTCATTTGGGGCAAGTATAGAACATCCTGAGATTAGATGGTCTATTGTTTCTTGGTATTTGTCACAGAACCTGCATTTTGGATCCACATTATTATGTATGATATTTGCCTGAAAATTCCTAGTGAAAAGACTCTGGTCTTGCGCTGCAAGAATAAAGCCTTCAGTTTCAGACTTTAATCCAGATGCTCGTAACCATCGATGAGTATTAACTTTATCAACATTGGGTTTATTTGCACGTTCTGGATATTGGCCATGCAGAGGTTTGTCTTGTCAGCGTTGTTTCATCTGTTCAAGGGCTTTATCCTTGGCTTTCTTTTTTCATATCTTTTGCTGCAATAGTTGGTTCTTGGCTTCTGTTTTGATTTACTACAGAATCTACTAAATGTAAATGTTGTTTGTATTTACTGCCTTCTTTTTATTATTGAATATTTTTTCTTTTCTGTTTTCATGTTGTTTCACTAATTTTATCATCCAGTCATTTGTTGTTTCCATGTAAGTTAGTAAGCCAATAGTTGTTGTCTTGTATGACAATTCTAGCTGAATAAGACCTCTTCCACCTTCTTTACGGGGTATGTATAGACGGTCTACATCAGCCTTTGGATGATGCATTATTATTATTATTATTATTATTATTATTATTATTATTATTATTATATTCGTACTGATCTGCCGTGTAATATCAATCTCCCTATATGATAGGGAATGCTGGACAATTTCGTAACAGATGAAGAAGAGGCTTGACGCAGCAAAGATTTGATTCTGCAGAAGGACGCTGAGAATGACTGGGACGTAATATGTGAACAATTAGGAAGTTTTACGGATAATGGAAATGAAAAGGACACTGATACTTCAAAAGTAGAAGATAGTGTAATTCCGAGGGCACATCATGAGGAAAGAGGGTTTGGAGAATTTGACACACCCACATACTGAAGTCAAAGAGGGACAGAAGGGTGTAACCTAACTAACTAGCTTTTTGTAAAAGGATGGTAGAACAGGATGTGGGAGTCATAGTAAAAAATCAAATATTGCGAAGAGATATAAATGAAAGGGAGTAGTGGAGAGCCACGATCGTCTAGGTTCTGAAAAGATGGCACAGAGAAGAAGAATTACCTTTCCCACCAGTAGTTGGTGCATGAGCCCATTTAAAACTAGCGGACCCCAATTCCACCCCCCTCGCTCTTATGCAATCCAACCGATGTTTTATCGTAGTAAGGGAACTTTATTAAACCCCAGCATCTCCAGTATCTAGAAACACAATTTATCCTTGGTTAAGCTTTGAAGATAAACTGTCCCGGGTCTGAGCACTGACTATATTAGTTTCTTAGTGTGTCGTTTGATAAGTTTGAATGGGGATACACTAGAAATGAACTAAATAGTAATGTAATTAATCTCTATCTATAAAACGCAGGATCTGTGTGTGTGTGTGTGTGTGTGTGTGTGTGTGTGTGTGTGTGTAACGAATGCACGGCCGCAATTTTCGACGGATTCGCACCAAAATTTACATGCACATGCTCCAAGTTAGTGGGAAGGCCAAGACCGACTTTGCATTTCCCAACTCCCACCGATAGTGGAAATAATCGATTTTTTCATGCTTCTACGGCAGTTTTCATGTAGTTTGCGGCCATTTTCCACTGGCCAGAGTGAGAGCCTATAGCTGGCTGCCACGAATAGGCAGGAAGATTCTATTGGCAAGCGTGAGAGCCAACAGTTGACTGACACGAATGTTAACTAGCATGCTAGCATGCAAAAAAAAAATCGATAGCTGCATTCGTCACAAGTGGGAAAAATTTAAATCTGCATGGCACTTTACTCCAATTGGCTCATTCGCTTGCTTAAACTCAACGTTGATTCTGATTCTGCAGAACTGGGTTGGGTGTGAAAAAGTATTTGTTGTTAACATTCTTTTTTCATTCGGTTCTTCCAGTTACGAGTCCTTTTTAAAGCTGATCGTAATAACCGATGTAATTATTACAAGCATACTAGTAGAAAACACAAACATAATAACTTCATCCACCTCTAAAAATGATTAAAATAATGGAAGATATATATATATATATATATATATATATATATATATATATATATATATATATATATGTACTGCTGTGCTGCGCTTCTAACATCTTTGTTGGTATAATTTTATAATTATATTTTTTCTCCCTGTCCATTCATCACATCATTATTTTAAAATTTACATTTATTTATTCATTAGAAAATACATTTGAGTTTCAATACAGAAATAATAACAAATTTGCTTTTAAAGTATCACAGATTTCGGTTTATCCTCTTTTCCAGTTTCCCAGGGGTTGTTACCAGACAATTCTTTTTCTTTTTCTTGCTATTCTTTTTTTCCTTCCTTGCTTTCTTTCTAATTTCTTCTTTTTCTTTCTTCTTTTGAATTCTCTTTCTTTCTTTCTTTCTTTTTTCTTTCAATTCTCTTTTCTTTTCTTTCTTTCTTTCTATTCATCCATTCTATTTTCTTTTCTTATTTTACTTTCCTTTTTTTTCTTTCTATTATATTCTCTTTTTCTTTTTCTCTTTTCTTTCGCTTTCTTTCTTCCTATCTTCTTTTCCTCCCTTCGTACTTTGTATGATCTCTTGTATTTATTTATCTATTTATTTATTTATTCATTTAAACACTTTTCCTTCATTTTTTTTTCTTTCCGACATTTTTCCCCCCAATCTTCATTTCGATACATGTTCTGCAACAGAGAAGATGGCGTAACCTCATTGTCGGTCATGGCACAAACTATCGTATATTTCTTTTTGATTAAAACAAAACAAAAAAAACAAAAAAACAGAAATTTAAACATAAAAACATTTTACAACTTGGTGATCTATTTTTAAACGTGCACATTTTTCAAACTCAAAATAAATTTCAATTCTTCTACTCGCCGACTTCAATCAGTTTTAATTCGATTCTCACAATTATTCCCCAAACAACCTTCCATATTTAAGCAATGTTACCACCATTTTCTTTTTTCTTCTCTTTTCATTTGAATGACATGGAAACAATGTATATTTATAGCTCAATGTTTTTCCCATGTCTCTAGTTTCCAAAACGTGGCATAGTGGTTAGTAAGCTCATCCCGTGGAACATTACTCTAAAAGTGAAGACATGGTTCGACGTTCTAGCATAACGAGGAGGCATTTCATCTTGCACAGAAACTATTGTCTTCATTTTGCATAGCAACAGAGGCGGGTCTATGGAAAGTGACAGTCACGTCCTGCACTAAAATTGCACCCTTGCCTGAACATCAGACATCCTACCAAAGGACGACATAGAAGTCTACATCGGTTATGTGTCATGCGTGATACGCGCTTAGGCGATCATGTATCTTTCGATATATTACTGACGAGGCAGATTTTTTTTTCCCGCAGTAGATTGCCAATTCTTTCTGCGTTGGACCAGTTGCCATCCAAGCCTACAGAACATGGTCTGTCCTGCTATTTACCCATAGCTGGGGGGAGAAGAAGAGGATTCACACATTTCCCAAGGGTATTAGCACGTAAGTGAATGTAATGGATCTGACTGGAATTCGAACTCGGCTCTCCGATTCCTCAATCCATTACTCTTAATTTTAGCAATTCAGACCTTTCATACAAGTCAGTCAGTCAGTTATGTGCCATGCGTGATACACGCTTAGGCGATCATGTATCTTTCTATATATGACTGAAGAGGCAGATTTTTCCCGCAGTAGGTTGCCATTTCTTTCTGCGGTAGACCAGTTGCCATTCAAGGTTATTGAATCCAGACCGTCCCGCTATTTACCAATACCTGGGGGTGTAGAGAAGAAAAGGATTCATACCTTTCCCAAGGGGATTATCACGTAAGTGAATGTAATGGATTAGACTAGAATTCGAACCCGGCTCTCCGATTTCTCAGTCCGAGCCTCCAACCTGTCTACCGCAGAAAGAAATGGCAACCTATTGCGGGAAAAAAATCCGCCTCGTCAGTCATGTCATGTATCGAAAGATACATGATCGCCTAAGCGTGTATCACGTATGGCTCAGAACTGACTGATATTTTTACAATTATCAAATAAGTTGTTGAATATTCTCCACACTCTCCATTCACGAACATTAAACTTATCAGGTGAAATTAATAAATACAGTGGAAGAACATATAGCGGCTTGGGTTGACGAATCGGAAAGCAGAGCTCAAATTTCAGGTGAATTCATTACATTCACTTACGTGCTAATATACTTGAGAAAGGCATGAATCCTCTTCTCCCTACAGCTATGGGTAAATAGCAGGACAGACCGAGTTCTATAGTCTTGGATGGCAACATGTCTACAGCCGAAAGAAACGGCAACCTACTGCAAGGAAAAAATCTGCCCCGTCAGTCATGTATCGAAAGATACATGATCGCCTAAGTGCCATATCACACATGTCATATAAGTGACGTAAACGTACTATTTCAAAAATAAAAGTCAAAACCCTCAGTACATACAACAAAAAAATAGTTGAAGGCACGGTGGAGTATTAGATAACGGCTTATGGAATCGGAGATCCGAGTTCGAATTCCACTCGAATCCATTACATTCACTTACATACTAATACCCTTGAGAAAGGTATGAATCCATATATCATTGATATACTATTAGGTGACAACCCGTCTAGGGAGAAGACAACCCTGAATTAAAAACCTCCAACTGTCAGTTAAGAAGGAGATTGGGAAAAGGTACTATGGACTGAGAAGTCCAGATTAGAGCTTTTTGGAAGTAATGTCGATACGGTTAGATGATTTCTAGGAGACCTCTTCGCCAAGGAAGAAACGATCCAATTGTGAGAAAACCCGATGCTATGTGAAACAGGCTCCTGAGTAAAAAGATATATCCAAATATAGATATAAACACTTTTAGATAGATAGATAGATAGATAGATAGATAGATATGACCACACTGAAATAGATAGATAGATATGTACAGGCTGAGATAGGTAGATGGATAGATAAACCCACACTGAGATAGATAGATAGATAGATAGATAGATAGATAGATAGATAGATAGATATGACCACACTGAAATAGATAGATAGATATGTACAGGCTGGGATAGATAGATAGATCCACACTGAGATAGATATGACCAAACTGTGATAGATAGATAGATAGATAGATAGAGAGAGAGAGAGAGAGAGAGAGAGAGAGAGAGATATGTACAGGCTGAGATAGATAGATGGATAGATAAACCCACACTGAGATAGATAGATAGATAGATAGATAGATAGATATGACCAAACTGTGATAGATAGATAGATAGATAGATAGATAGATAGATAGATAGATAGATAGATAGATAGATATAAATTGAAATTATAGGAGGTCTGTCTGAAAAGTAACGGGTCGACAATGAGTTCTTGCCACACAGCCAGATGATCAATCAGCAAAGCGATCCGGCGGTGCTTGCTTCGTTCAGTGCGCGAGAAGAGACTAGAGTTGTGGCAGAACAAATCGTGGCTGCTTCACTACAGAAATGCACCTGCTCACAAAGCCCTGAGCATCCACCTGAAAATATGCGATGACAAAATATTAAGAGCATGCATTTATAATAAAAAAATCGTTATATGCATTATTTAAATTAGGTACAGTTGGTTCTATTTAATTATTTCTTGAAAAATATTCAAATATTTACATATATTTCAGACACCCTCGACTACCCTTTCTCAAAGAACTCAATAATAAAACAAACACTAATCAACAACAGCTTCTCTAACCACCTTATAGCCCAGCAAATTAGACTATTACACCTCAAAGTAAGTACCGTTCTGGGTATGACGATAAACTACATCCGCGTTCAGGGCAAGACGATAAACTACATCCGCGTCCTGGGTAAGACGATAAACTACATCCGTGTCCGGGGTAAGACGATGAACTACATTCTCGACCTGGGTAAGACGATAAACTCCGTCCAACAGCAAGGCCTCTAATCAGGAGGCTTTGAGGAGCGTGGGACCACCTCTTAATTGCTGGTGTTCCCAGGTCCACCCTAACCCGGGGTGGTAGCACCTGTTAGGGTTCCAGCTATGGGTAAATAGTTAACCTTGAAACTGAGGTAAAAAGCATTATGAAAGTGTAAAAATAGGTTTTAATACCAAAAATACTTTGTAAAAAAGTATTACCAGAAATAAATTTTTGAAAAAAAAAAGAACTATTACCAGCTACACATTTTTGAGGAAAAAAATATTACCAGAAATAGATTTTTGCCAAAACAAAATATTATCAGAAAAAAAAGTTGTTGGCATTAAATGACCCATTGATGTTGACATGCCGTAAAACAAACCAAACCAATCGTGAGACCTTCAAGACTGGAACAGCTATGGATGTAAGGAATATTAGCCACATGAATTAGGGCAAAAAAAGAAGCCATTTTCAACGCTGCTGGATTTCCTCGGGTAAAGAAAACCACCAGAAATCACATCCTCAGGACCATGTCTTCCGTGGATCTGCCTCCTTTGATGTCCCGTGTGTGCCAACCTTTCTTATTTACAACACAGCAATCTGATAAAATGTATATTTCGAAATAAAAAAAAGAGAAGGTTAAAGGGAGATAACCGCGGGTTCGAAGTAAGAACATTATCATTGATAACTCTCTCCTCCAATTTGCAGATCCTGTTTACTCTATTTACATTATTCCTATTGTCCTCATCTTTGTCGCCATATTTATTACAACGCCTTTATCCACTGAGCCATGTGTCCTCGAGGACACATGGCACGGTGGATAAAGGCGTTAGTTAGATCCAGTGGCAGGACCCAAAGAATGTGAGTTCAAGGTTAAGGCAGTGGAGAACTTGGAGAGGGGAATTTAAAAGGAGATAACTGACAATTGACATCCATTAAACACGTGGAACTAGAACAGTCTACCGCAGTGAGCGAAATAAAGGGTTCAGTTCGACATTCCAACCACCTGAAGAAGGCTGGAGCGTACAACGGCCGAAACGTTGTGATGCATATGGCGACAAAGATAAGGACAATAGTCCGAATAATGTAAATAGTGTACATAATACCTCATCTCTGAAATATAGACAGATACTGAAGGATCGGATAAATATGGCGACAAAGATGAGGACAATAGTCGGAATAATGTAAATAGTGTACATAATACCTCATCTCTGAAATATAGACAGATACTGAAGGATCGGATAAATATGGCGACAAAGATGAGGACAATAATCGGAATCATATAAATAGTGTACATAATACCTCATCTTAAAAATAGAGACAGATCCTATTTACTATATTTTTAATACTTGATATAATGCAAAAAATATCAGTGATAAATTGGGTCAATAATTTCTTATAATTATTTATACTGGGACTCATGCTTGTGGTTACAAGTAATCCATAATAATATTTTGAAATTTGGAATTATATTTATTTTTGGCATACGAATTTTTGAAACTGTTTCAAAATCTTTCATTGTCTTTCAATCATTCCACCTCACCTGCTATCCTCTTCCGCCGCACCTGCTATCCTCTTCCGCCGAACCGTTTTATCCTGTGCCGCCGCACCAGCTATCCTCTTCCGACTCATCTGCTATCCTCTACTGTTTCACCTGCTATCCTCTTCCGCTGCATCGTTCTGTCCTCTTCCGCCGCAACTACTATCCTCTTCCGCCTCACCTGCTATCCTCTTCTGCCTCGCCTAATATCCTCTTCCGCCTCATCTGCTATCCTCTACCGCTTCACCTGCTATCCTCTTCCGCTGCATCGTTCTGTCCTCTTCCGCCGCAACTGCTATCCTCTTCCGCCGCACCGTTCTATCCTCTTCCGCCGCACCTGCTATCCTCTTCCGACTCGCCTAATATCTTCTTCCGCTTCACCTGCTACACTCTTCCGCCGCACCTGCTATGCCCTTCCGCCTCACCTGCTATCCTCTTCCGCCTCACCTGTTATCCTCTTCTGCCGCACCTGCTATCCTCTTCCGCCTCACCTGCTACCCTCTTCCGCCGCACCTGCTATCCTCTTCCGCCTCACCTGCATCCCTTCCGCCTCACCTGTTATCCTCTTCTGCCGCACCTGCTATCCCTTGCTCACCTGCTCCTCTTTCCGCCTGCTATCCTCTTCCGCCTCACCTGCTATCCTCTTCCGCTTCATCTGCTATCCTCTACTGCTTCACCTGCTATTCTCTTCCGCCGCATCGTTCTATCCTCTTCCGCTGCAACTGCTATGCTCTTCCGCCTCACCTGCTATCCTCTTCTGCCTCGCCTAATATCTTCTTCCGCCGCACCGTTCTATCCGCTACCGCTTCACCTGCTATCCTCTTCCCCCTCACTTGTTATCTTCTTCCGCCTCACTTGCTATCCTTTTCCGTCGCAGTTATTAGGCGTGCCGCACTATTTGGGAACAACTGGCTTAGAGGGACACTAGGACAGAAGTGTATTGTTTGCCAGTTAGGATTGAACTGATGATAGTCCTCTCGGTATGCTAAATTTCCTTTTCTTTGGATTACAACTTTTATTATGTTTTCTTTATTTTATTTCCTTTTTTGTTTTCTCTATTTCTTGCATCTGCCCCGAGTGGGGTAGCCATTAAGCTAAACAATTATTGCATAGTGTAATCCAAGATTTTATTGTTATAAAACTGTACTTTCGACGCTGACTTGCGAAAGCAAGGCAGATATGCGTTCTTACTCGCCAAATCAACCCAACAGTCGGTGTCCGTCTTGTTGAAATATTCTTATCACCTTGGATTTTAATATTGCCCGCCGGATATGACCTGCTCACTGGAAGAGTCGCCATATTGTTTTGTTTGTTTTTTCTTTTTTCTTTGTTTTTATGAGTGGAGTGTAATTGCTGGACAGATGCGGAGATGTATGCAATTGTTTGTAACTTTAGTGTTTTGTCTATTGTTTGTCTACAGGGGTTTTATGTTCAACAGTAGAGTTTCTTTCTGTCTTTATTTCTTTCTTTCTCTCTCTCTCTCTCTCTCTCACTCTCTCTCTCTCTCTCTCTCTCTTCTCCCTTTCTTTCTTTCTCTCTACAGATATATATGTGTATCAACAGGAGCAGTTAGGTTCGCCTATCGTCCGGTTTACACTCACCCCGGTCTTTTCAGCAGGAGTAGCAGCTTATCCCTTGTTTACTGTTTAGGATTGTATTTCCGGTTGCTTCTAAAGTTTTCCCATTATTTTTTACTCCCATTAACCCTTTGCATCTTAGTCACATTATCGCCTTGCTTAGTGGTGAATTTACACACACACACACACACACACACACACACACATATATATATATATATATATATATATATATATATATTGTTAATCTGTATGGATAATTACAAAGAGGATATAGATCCAGAGAGAGCTCAATGTAATTACAGAGTAAATAATTATGAAAGCGGAGACTTTAAATGTTCATGGTAATATTTTATTTCATTAAAACCGATACTATATATATATATATATATATATGTGTGTGTGTGTGTGTGTGTGTGTGTGTGTGTGTGTGTGTGTGTGTCTTTTATTTTCCATTTTGACAGTAAAATTCTCTTTTCTGTCTTAAACTTTGATATCCAAATGGGAGAATCCATATTGGCACCTACTCATGCAGTCATATTTTTGTTACAGTAAGTTTCACACTCTACAAGGCCCGGGAGCCACTCTAGGTAGAGGGCTACGGTAAGTGGTAGGATAGGAGGAAAATAACTTTTAACTCTAGCCTTGAAGAGATTGAAATTGTATTGTTCGGGAAATATCCTCTTGGGAGTCAATGTGGAAATTCTCGCCAATGCGATACCGAATACGGGAGTAATGTGGGTGATTTGATACTGTGTAAGCGGCATGGCGTGTCAGAGCCGTTAAGGTAGAGTATTTATTCAGGTTATTTATATGGGAAGGTAAAAACACACAAACCTGTTCCATTAGTCTCACAAATCTCAACTCCTGTACATCAACAAGCAAAATCAATTGATACTTCCATATTTACCCAGTAAATATAGCATTCAGTCCATTGGCGAATTCCTCGATATACTACAGCCTAACAAACCGAAGGACTACACCCTAACCTCCTTAGACGTAGAAAGCTTATTCACTAATGTCCCAGAAACTATAGTCATTGTCCTACTGAACATATGCAGTCCTCTTTCGTTCCCAACTCTTAAAATTAGATAAACTATCCTGCGAAAACTTCTCTTCTACACGACACAAGTATCATTTTACGACCACCATGGCAACATTTATACACAAAGTTGAAGACGACTCTAATTTCTTCATGTGTCGTATGAAAGACAAAGTCTAGAATAATTCCACCATGCCCCCCACCTCATAGACACGTTATATTGACGACGTATTCGTATTAGCAAACAGCTTGGAAGAAATTTAAAAAAATACTGAGGGAAATCTTTGAGAATAATTCTGTCATATACTTTAGTTACGGACTCAAAATTAACAATAAAATCTCTTTTACTATTTGCATTGCTCGGACTATCATCCACATTTTTGTTGCCATATTTATCACAACGTTTCGGCCGTTGTACGCTCCGGCCTTCTTCAGATGGTTGGG